CCAGATGGAAAACTCTACAGATTGTCGGTTCACACCCCATCACAAGCCAGCAAAACACCCACGAAACAAAGAAAGGTCTGTCACAGCCAAAAAATACACTCCAGACACGCCGCAGGCACTAGAGGCACAGCATGGCCGCGTAGTGACGGCCCCGACCACTGCCGCTCGACCTGACCGGAGAAAACCGTAGCAGGAAGCTAGCGAAGTCGTAGTATATATGTATATATATATATTATATATATATATATATATATATATTCTATTTGACGATATATATATATATATATATATATATATATATATATATAAAGTAGATAAGAATAACAAGAAGAGAGCTCCCCTATATAAATCCAAATTTGTACGCATACCTATATATATATATATATATATATATATATATATATATATATATATATATATATTGTCACACTGTGAATCGGAGCGCAAAGGCGGAAAAAAGCAAAACAAGGAAGGGAAAGCAGAACATGGAAGGGAAAGATAAAAAGTCATGGTTCGTGTCCCCGCCGTTGTCACCACCACCTGTAGACCCCACATAGCGACGGGTGAGAACCCCTACGAGCAACTCGAGGACAGTGTTCCCTCCTCTTATCGCCTCCGCCACATCACCAATCTTCGCCGCCATCGCAGTCCCCGCATAAGGGTTGCCTTCGTCAATGTAGAAGCGGCCTTGTCAAGACCATCGCAGTAGGATCGTGTCGACTCCTCCATCGCCCTCGCCGTAGTCGATCCGCTGGTCCCAGCGTCATCCATCCTTGTTTTCCCTGACGACGTTCTTCGCATCTTCGCTGCGCCCTCCGAGCTGTCCGTTCCTCTCGCCTAAGACCCTCTTTTTCCAGATCTACTTCTTCCCGAAGGCGGCACTCCTTCTCCTGCTCCCGGCAGGTCCTAATAGCCCAATGTCTGGTCGCACGTCATGGATGGTATGTTGAGTTTCCATTGCATGGCATCCCACAACGGTTTCTCAAAGGTGAGAGGCACCTGCAGCTCCTTCCGCTGTTCCAGGTATGTGTCCCAGTACGACGGCCGGCCCGACGCGTTCTCGCACTTGTCAAGGATGAGCTTCGCCTTCGTCATCATGAACGTCCACTTCTTACGGCAGTCCTCCGCAGTTATCTGAGGAAAACCGCCGGATGCCATGCGATCCGCCACCCACCCATACCGCTCCTTCCTTTTCATGAACTGATGCTGTCCATTGGCGTCAGCCATGAGCGCATCGTCCTCCCCCATCATCTTTGCAAGCCATATCATCTCCTCCAACGTCCACACCAGGTTTTGTTTTTTGTTCTTCGGTGGCCCTTCGTTCCTGCCTTTTTTCTGCCCACGTCTGCCATCGTTTCTCCCATTGGAATCACCGGCCTTGTCTGTTTCTGGAACACCGCCTCCATCGCCATTCTCATCGTCAACATCATCTCCATCTCCATTACCAGTGTCATCCTCCATGTCCTCGCACGCTTGACCATCGTAGCCATTTGCGGCCTCGCTGTCCAAACCCGACGGATAAGAGGTCCCGCAATGCGGCGTCCATGCATTGTCCATGTCGCGTCCATCGGCGTCCACAGTGGAAGGACCGGGAGTGCAAGGTGATCGCCTGCTGGACAGAGTGGTGGTGCTGGAGAACATGGCATGCGACGTCTGGGAAGTCTGGCCAGATTGCGGGGACCAAGGGCGATCATTGCGCATTGCGCTCCCCCTATCAAACGTCTGCTGCGCGGGGAACACGTGCGCAGCGAATCCGAACCCGCTTCCCACCGGCAACGTTTGTGCACTGCCCACGCCATATCCACCACCGGTTTGGGTGGCCTACGGTGTATGTCCCATGTGACCACCTCCAAAAGGCATATTGGCCGCTGGTGGCCGAACATGGGAGCGGGCACGTTGCCCCGATGCGTCTGCATGAGACTGCGAAGAGGGGAGGGGGGCTGCCGGTGCACGAATCGGTGCACCTCGCCCCCCGTCGTACAGCTGTCCGGTGAAGGACTGCAACCTCGGCGATGACGGACATGAGTACTGCCTGCCTGCCAGTGGACGCCCGTCCCGCGTCGGGAAACCCCCCTCAATGCCTTCCTGGTTCTCCGCCCTCCACCGAACGGGATCCATTTCCCCCTCTATGCCTTCCTGGTTCTCCGCCCTCCACCGGCTCGGATCCATCCCCCCCTCAAAGCGTCCCTGGTTCTCCGCCCTCCACCGACTCGGATCCATTTCCCCCTCAATGCCTYCCTGGTTCTCCGCCCTCCACCGACTCGGATCCATTCCCCCCTCAATGCCTCCCTGGTTCTCCGCCCTCCACCGACTCGGATCCATCCCCCCCTCGAAGCGTCCCTGGTCTGTCTCTTATACACATCTAGATGTGTATAAGAGACAGACGAACGGGAAGTGGATTGTACCCCGCGTTGGTGGACGGGACAAGTGGCAGTGGGGAGGGGCATGTGTTGATTGGAGCAACGTGTGCAAGAATTGCCATGTCTGTGTGTGGGGTTGTGTGTGGGGTTGTGTGTGGTGTGTGTTGAGTTCTACACTACAGCCTTGCAGGGGTGGGCTGGACATCAAACTGCGTGGTTCTATACATTAGCGACTGACTGTGTCCTGGCTGTGGTGATTAAGAGACTTGGCTCTTGATGCCAAGGTCGCTGGTTCGAATCCATGCTTGCACTGAGCAGGCTGAAGCTCAGGATGCTGTCTCTTATACACATCTAGATGTGTATAAGAGACAGCCACTACAGGTGCACCACTACAGTCCCGGTAGCGGCCAGAAGAAGACGACGAAGAGAAGGACACAGAACACGAAAATGGACAACAACAAGGCGGTGAAGACGATGACGATGACAACAAACCAGCAGCCTATTGCAGCCCAAAACTGCTGCGTTCGTCTGCCAACACTGCTTGATTCGTGGATGACGACAACCGGAGGGGGGCAGCAACGATGATGGCACGACGGACAGGGAGGACAACCACCCGAAGAAGGACCAACGGCCGCGTGGACTATATGCGGATGTGGAGATTGGAGCACGCAATAGCGTGCAGCCAAGTCCAGGGGACTTCTGCGAAGATCCGTATCACACGTTTGGCCACGCGGAATCCGATGAGGACGAGGAAAAGCTGATGAAGACAATGCCGGCATACGTGGAACCACAACTCCCATCGCTGCCCGTGCGGGCTGAAACAACAGTCGATGCAGGATGTTCACACCACGGCCGACTGCCGAAACGGCTTCTCCCGAATGGCTCCCTCCCCGGACAACCGTCGCTGCGCCGGCCGCCCCTTCCGTATGCAACCATTGCCCATACCCTGCCCGATGACACTGCCACAAACCATGTCGCCGACCAAAGACCCCGCGCCCTGCGCCTATAATGCTCCTCAGCGATGGCATTGCACTCCTAACGCAGCTTTGCATCCCACTACTGGGCATGAGGACAGCGCTTGGGGCTAACGGGATCCGCGCGTGCGCTCATATGCTGCCAGCGTTTGGCTGGATTACCTATGCATGGCTGGCTGTCGTCCCCGGTCCGCCGTTTTTTTTTTTTAATTTGAAATTCGTTGCCGTTTCGGAAACCAGGGACCGCGCAGGCCAGCCACACAGCGGCTCACACGGGAACCGTGCGACAGGGCAGTGCATGTCCGAGGGGACTTGCCCGCCCATGAAATGGTCCGCCGTGACGTCAGCTGGACCACGGCCGCTCGGCATCTTTTTTCCACGAGAGAACATGCCCCCCCCCCCCCCCCCTTGGTTGGAAGGCATTTCTGGAAAGGTCCTGGAAGGCCGCGCGCTTCGGTTTCCAGGCCGCCAACCGAGTAGAAACGCTTCTGACACCTTTCCTGCAATGTCTTTCCACGTTCTGTGGGGTCTGAAAACCTTTCCAATTCTGGATTTCCATCCTATTTTCCAGATCGGTGGAGTCCCAAAAACACCATCCTGGAAAGATATTTCCAGGCAGCCGAGCAATGGGGTCCACCCCTAAGCCTACTCGGGCCATTCCCCATGCACAGACCTTTTTTTTTTCTTTTTTTTTTTCCCCTGCAATGGATGATGACCTGTATGCTTTGTCAGTTAATAGACTGAAATCATCAGAAACCTTGACATGTGGCCTGGAAATTTATCTGCTGCACCTATCAGGAGCATTAGCAAATTGGTGCAAATCTGTAGCCATCTTAAGGCGTCACACTCATTTATGTTTAAAACTTTAAATTGAGGTTTGAAGTGCTTGCCTATGGACACTCATTTATGTTTAAATTGAGGTTTGAAATGCTTGCCTATGGACAAATGTGCCTTGTACCGGATGAATGAGAGGGAGGAATGGGATAGCTCTAGAAAAGGATGGGCTGACAAAGGGGTCTCTGAGATGGTTGGGGCAAGATGGTCTAGGCCAGGGAACGGGACGGATTTGGCGACCGTGGATGGGGTCAAAGCGGTCAGATAAATGCTTAGCCCTCCAGGTAAATGCACGAGGGAGGGCTAGGGTCCAGATGACATTGCGCAGATTATAACCATTGTGGATAGCACCCATTAACCAACGGGAAGTGGATTGTACCCCGCGTTGGTGGACGGGACAAGTGGCAGTGGGGAGGGGCATGTGTTGATTGGAGCAACGTGTGCAAGAATTGCCATGTCTGTGTGTGGGGTTGTGTGTGGGGTTGTGTGTGGTGTGTGTTGAGTTCTACACTACAGCCTTGCAGGGGTGGGCTGGACATCAAACTGCGTGGTTCTATACATTAGCGACTGACTGTGTCCTGGCTGTGGTGATTAAGAGACTTGGCTCTTGATGCCAAGGTCGCTGGTTCGAATCCATGCTTGCACTGAGCAGGCTGAAGCTCAGGATGCGCGTATAGTGGCCATCATGGGATGATGACCACAGCTGCTACCAGGCTTTGCTGAGACTCCATCCATTGCTATCAGGTTCTGCTGGCCCTGGTTGCTGTCTAATAGGCGCAGGGCATGGGTTGGTGAATGAAGGTGGCTGCGGGAAAGGAATCATGCCATGTTGGACTTTCACGCCGCATCTGTGCGGGCCACGTCACATCTGACAGTGTGCGTTTTCTTATGATTTCACCGATCATTCAGGAATTTTGCATGTTCTCCTTCGTGGGGGAACTGTGTTCTATCGAACGCAGTTTGTCGGAACTCTCTGTTTGTTGCTTTTCCCTCTTCCCTCAGGGATAGAGGGAGGCTCAGCAGAAGCATGGCAGGCTTACAGTACTTGGGGTGACCACCACGGACCTGTAGGCTGCCTACACCACCTGAGCTTCTTCCGAAACAGAAAGAAAAAGAGATCGGAGTCCAACATTTGATTTAAATCGCCAGTACATCCGACACTCTGTTTGCCGACTCGGAGGTGGATTCCCCGTGTGCACCAACCTTTGCACAAACACACCAGACTGTGTGGAGTTTTTCTTTTCTTTTGGCTGGTGCCACCTGCCATTTTTTGTCTGGTAGCCCTGAGCCTCGGCAGTTTTCAGACTGGCTCGATTTCAGTTATCAAGTTTCCCGGGTGAGGTACGGGCTGTTTAAACTTTAAACCACCAGTACACGGCCCCAGCCTTGCAGAAATTTTGTTTGTCACCTACTTCAAAAATTTCAGTGCTCGGGCCTACTGGACCACATGGGCCGGCGGCGCCAGCCAGAAAAGAAACAAATTCAGAAAAGCTTGGCGTGCAGTGCAGCGCCTACAGGGCCGGGACCGTGTGCTAGTGGTTTAAACCACCAGTACCTACCACATTTTTCGTACCCCCCTGGTTCGAATGAATTTGGACTGGAGGGGCAGGCCCATTCGGATACCGCGTTAACGGCCGCCCCAACCGGTAGCTACTGGTGGTTTAAAACGGCAGTTCACACGAACCTAAGCAGCGCTCGTACGGGTACACGCAATAAGAGTGTTGCTTTTCGCGCCTGGGTTGGTAGTGAAAGAGGCAGGCCACTTTGAAAACGTGCAGTTGCATGCTCGCGAGTCTTGGGAAGTAGCCTGGCCAACTTAATCTCGATGACGATGATGGTCATGCCGATGACAGTGACAATGATGATGATGATGATGATGATGATGAAAGTGCCGCCCCTCAACAATAGATCAGGGCACCGGCGAATGGTCTACGATGGGGAGGGGCTCTTATCACTCCCCATAGCTAGCCCAGGCAGATTTCATTAAAAAAGAAAAGAAAGAAGAAGAAGAAGAAGAAGAAAAAGATGTAGATGACAATGATGGTGATGGTGATGATGATGGACAATGATGAACAATCATGAATCTTGACGATGATAAGGACAAAGAGGAGGTTGTTGCATGAAATGACAAGCTAAGGTGGCCTTCTTCATTTGATGTTGTGAGTGCATGCAGGTTTCAATCCTCTCTGAGAGAAAAAGAAGAGGGGTTTCAATCACTCCTGGATGAACTGCAGCGGAGACATGAACAAGAATGCCAAGAAATAATCCAACAACTATTGGGCAAGATAAAGGTTTCTTCTGCTTCTGCTTCTGCTTCTGTGGGTGCTGTTGCCCCCACACAGATTGTTTGTCTTTTTTCTCTTTTCTAAAAAAGGGGCTGAAGGGGGGTCGGAGGAAGATTTGTTTGGCCAGAAACACAAGGCAAGTACCACAAGGATCAACCTGGCCACAGATCTGCCATAAGTTGTTAGGCACCGTGCTCACCAGGTTCACCCCCCCTCCAGCCCCAGATGGCGTGGACGGCCACACCGGGAGTGTCACCCAAGGATCTGCCACGCTACAGCAAACCAATACAGAGGGGGCACCTTAGGGGAGACAGGCCAACCAGACACCGAGGCAGAAACGACCTCCGCACCCACCCAGCCTGGAGAGCAGGGCTGCCCAGCATCCCATCAACAGATAAGCAGCCCCACAGACCCACAGGAACGCCGGAAGGAGGGGCCGGATGACAGGGATGCTCAGCAGACCCCGCACCAACCCTCTCAATCCCAAGCCACAGGTCTGGGAAACGGTCTTTGTCCCGCATTACCAGCCTGGGAGTCGGCAGCACCAGCTCAGCCACCAGCGCCCCCCGACCCCCTCCCCTCCATCCCCCCGACGCCCCCACCCAGTCCACCGAGCCCCCAGACACGTCCCTTACTAGCAGGAGACAAATATTACGTCAACTGCTAGAAAGGGCCCCCCCTTCTACAACATCCAACAAGGGCATATTGCTCCTCCCAGTTCGACAAGCTCACGGGGAGTGGGAAGTGGGTCTGTTAGTCCCGCCTAACGCAGTATATGGGGAAGTCTCTCTACAGGGCCGTTCGGGCCTCTTCCTCTCCTTAACATCTTGGGCAGACAATCTTTCCCTGAGGAAACAGGATATCGCACGGTTGGCCCAAGGTCTCCTCCCTGAGGGCGCCACCTCTGCCCTGGTCATCTCCTATAGGCGGGACATGCTCAGTCTCAGGGACATCTACCTACAGTACGACCGCCCTGATACGAACATGCGCTGGTTTGATAACGAGGCCCTCTTGGACCTTCAAATCCTAAAAATAAAAAATGGGGACCTCTGGACGGCAACAGAGGTTGAGTCCTTCCTGGTGAGCATGCTCAGGATGCGCAGTCTGCAAAAACGCGGCTTCTTGGACTCAGCGAAGTGGTTGCCGCTAAAATAAAAACAAAAAAAAAACACAATGCTCCCTCTCACAGGTCTGTGGAGATCCTGCAATAATAAGCAATGGATGTGGTAGACGTGCTCTATGGCAGGGATAAGGCATGGAACCTCTTTAAACGGCAAGCGGACCTTGACTTGCGCTCTATCAATGTCAACGGCCTGGCCTCAGCACAGGCCTCCAAAAGACAGGCCATCATAGACCAATTAAGCGGCCTGGAAGGGAGGACATAGCCGGATGTGATCTGCGTACAAGAAACTCACCTAATGGACACCCCGGACCACAACCACACACACAAGGAGATCTGGCCTCATCAGGCCTTCCGGGCCCACGCCCCCCGCCCGGGCAGCTACGGAGCTGCCATATGGATCCCTCCGCTCCGGGCTCCAAAGTGGAGATGCTCAACTGGGCAGCGGACCCACACGAGGGCAGATGGGTCTACCTCTTGGCCATGCTGGAATTGGAAGTGGTCACCATCCTCAACATATACGCACCAAATGATCCAACGAAGAGACGGACCTTCCTGGAATCCTTGAAGGATAAGCTACCGGTGGGCATACCCACCATCGTGGTAGGAGACTTCAACGCAGCCCCCGATAGGTGGACCGACAGATGGAAGACCCCGTCCCCCTGCCCGGGCTACATTGAGCAAGATGAAGGTATAATCTCCGACCTCTCCCAATCTCTAAACCTCTTTGACACCTTTCGGCGGAGCTACCCAACGGCCCGCCGCTTCACATGCTTCCGCAAGAACGCGACAGTGAATGCATCAAAGTCTCGCATAGACCTGATCCTGGCATCGGAGGACTTGCAAGGGGGCCTGCAGACTGCA